GGGGGGGGGGAGAGACAAGAAACAATGAAATCCAAGTATTTAGTAGAATTTGTACAGGTGCATCCCCCTATCAACACTGGAAAGTTAAAGCAGGACCTCCGAATGTAACGTCTGTCTTTGACATTGTCAAGGTAATTCCATTATATTTCAATAGACGTCGAGATATTTACTACTGGGTTTTGAGGCAAACTTAGAGAGAAAATTGGCCGTCAAAGTTCGGTGATTTTAAAAGCTTGGGCGTCCTTGGAAACTACAAAATTAGATCTAACATTTTGTATGCCTTTGATCAACGTTCTTCAGTAAATCCCGTACGAAATGTGTTTTTTAAATGGATATACATGAAAAAAGGGATCAAAGAGAATATAAAAAAGGCTCGACGAAAATTTCCATCAACAGATGTATGTCAATGTGATTTTAATTTTTTTTTTTCAATTCCATTATTATGACCAGTGCCTGACTTGCCCACGATGTTACACACAACAATGTTCTAAAATGTGACACGAGTCAAGCATGCAGTGCCCACTCACGTATCTCCGTCTCTGAAGACATTAATGGCGGACGTCAGTTCAGGGGCGGAGTCAATGTTCAGATCTACGAATCGTTTGGAGCTGCTGGTCGCCCCTCTGTTGTAGGGCAGGAACAGTGTAGAAGCTGGGCCCTTGTCGTGTAGATCTGCCACTACAGCCCGACAGCGAGCTTTCTTGGCCACTTCGAAGAAGTCAGAGCCGTCCGCTAGGAGAAGCTGGAGATGGGGACAAATAATTTTACTTGGAAAACAAATTATAAACATATACTACGATAGCCTAATATTGACATTTGAACAGAGCTTAGTGTTGTGCGACAGAAGCAAAAGTTCTACTATACTATTACCGAAGATACAATATTCCCAAACTTTCCCCCTCCAGCTCCTCCTTCCACACCCTTTTCTGAATGATTGTGCTGCAACACCCACCCACCCACCCCCTCCCCTGTTCCCAGAAAAAAATGGTGACATGTAATACTCTTATTCAGATAGCTTTGTAGGCTAAGGAAAACAAAGAAGAAAAAAACAGCAATAACAACAAAACCTTGTTAAACCATCACCATTGAACGAGCTTGTTTGATTTCGTGTTTAAACGACTTTAAACAGAGTATTGTCCTTTACAAACGAAGCTACGTCCAGTTCAAATACCAAATTAGTTGTCTTACCGGCGCGTTCATAGCGACACAGCCCGCTAATATAATGCCCACTTCAGTGACAACTCGCTCTGGGGAATTCGGTAAGGCGATGGCGATGACATCATGACGTTGGAAACCTTTCTGACGGAGCAGAGCGGCAAATTTCCCTCCCAACTGGAAGAGTTCTTTGGATGTTTACACGTCACGAACTCCGTGGTCGTAGAAGATGAAGAGTTCCCTGTCTGGGAAGTTGTCGGCCAGAAACTTGAGGCGTTTACACAACGTGTCGTGATCCCGAATTCTGGACATTGTGCCGCCCATGGTCGGTGGTCAGTTTAGGACACGCCAGCAGAGAACTTCACCTGACTTGTTTTAGGAGAAAATAAGGTTTAAAATGTATAGCAGTTACAGAAGCACTGCCAGGGATGAGGCAGTCACCCAGGACTTGGATGTGCCAAGATTAGAAGAGTTGGCGAGGCGAGGGACAGACAAGCATAGGGTCGACTGGTCTTCTCCGTGTGTACTTGAAAATACAGGGGGAGAGAAAGTGGACGCAGTGCAATTTGCACCTCCCACCCCCAATCCCTGCATGACACCACAGCCATACTTGCAGAAAGCTGGACCCTTAACTCGCTCCCTTTTGTTCTCGAATAATCTATAAAATAGCAGAAGCAAGGGGGGGGGGGGCAAAAATGGTCAATAATCATTTACATCTCTGAACATTGCGCGTGTGTGTGTTTGTGTGTGTGTGTGTGTGTGTGTGTGTGTGTGTGTGTGTGTGTGTGTGTGTGTGTGTGTGTGTGTGTGTGGTTGTGTGTGTGTGTGTGTGTGTCGGTGTGTGTGTGTCTCTCTGTGTGTGTGTGTGTGTGTGTGTGTGTGTGTGTGTTCTTTTGAAGTAAATTGTTATAGTTATTTCTGATCACCATGGGGAGGTAGGTATAAGACTTTAAACAGGGTATATAATTATCTCTTTTTTATATCAATGATTAAAATGGGATACAAATCAGTGAGGGGTGAGATAAAACGTTTTAAGGGAACATTTTGAAACTTATCCTTTTGACAAACTGTTCAATGGTCATTTTAAAAAATATTTTTCTTTCACTCTGCTCCAGTGTTTAAGTTTCAGTCTGTCTCTCATTCTCAGTTGAGCATACTGGCCAGCTTCCACGGCATTCATTTTCAAGTGGTTCATTCCTTGGTGGTCACTGAATTTCCGAATAAAAAAGGAAAATGTTTTGTGAGGCGCACCTAAAGTATTGTCCAAACTGTGCATGGAAACTTTCACAACAGTTTGTTGTTCTAGATGTCAAGTCTTCACTGGCCCAGAGTTCAGATGGAAAGCACAAAAATGAAATGACATAGCTGTGTGAAGCAGGTAATCTGAAAATGCATAAACTTTCTCGTTTTCGGGGGCCGCTGCCATAGTAGAGAAAGCGAAACAGTTCTCTAGCTCAGATTGTTTCAGGAAGCACATTCCAAAAGCGTACTCTAGCAATTTGACTATCGAATCATGGTTTTCGAAGTGGGTTTTGAGTCCAATTTCATTTATTTTTCTAATTCAGCTTGAGGCAAAAAAACAAAACACGCATTCCTTGATCTCTGTCTTTAGGAATATGTCTTTGAAGGCTGAGTGCACCGTCAATTCGAAATCAAAATGGATGGAAGCAGAACTGAATACACGCCACTTTGCTTTCATTGTTAACAATTGAGAGCCAACATCTTTTGTATAAGCCTGCTGTTTTGCCCGACAGAATGCAGTAAAACAATGGCATATAATGTCCATTTCGCTCTTCGGGGACAGAGTAAAGCTGATGAAAGAAAGTAGGGCAGAACTGGAACGTTCCATCTCCGCAGCAGTCAGCTCCATTGCTGATGACTTTAAAATTATCTTGAAATGTTATGACTACTATTTCATCTACACCAACAACCATATGTTTGGGGGGATAGGGCAGGTGTCGTTTTCAATCGCTGTCAAGACTTCTATTTTGTTTAGTTTAGTAAGGGTTTTACAGAGCTCACAACTGCAAAAGGTCATATGAGCGCGCAAACGTAGTCTAAAACAGCCGTATGCACTGCTCACAGCCGAACGCTCCGTATCCCGGACTCTAGCATGGACATCATTAGGAGAGAATGCGTCGCTGTTTCGGG